TCGCTGTGCCTTAAGGGCTCTCTCTCGAACCCAACCAGCAGCCGCACAGTGGCACATGATACAGGCAGAGTAACATTATATGCAAGTTGAAGTGAACCGAAGACACGCTTATTTTAGAGCGATAAAAATGGGGTGTATTACGCGTTAATGAGATCAGAGGACCCAAAAACCTCCCTCCACCACTTTCAAACGCAGTTCCTCGTGGAAAAACAGTAGTTTGTTCAAGAGAGATGCACCACCCACTAGAGCACGAGGTAAAACAAACTGATATAAATCAGAGGTCTTCAGTGCCACATTTAAATCAGGACAGTTGAGGTAAACAGGCAATTTCACTTGGCATATCAATCTATCCGTCAGCTCCCCCATCGTGGAAGGTTGGAATTGGGATCGGAACTCGAAAGCACGACAGCCAGTACTGAGGACAACGCTGCAAGCGATCAGGGTGAGCCGGGACCTAGGTTTTCATCTCTTGCATTTAAACAGAGCCGCCACAATCTCAATCTTAAGTGTGGTACAATAACCCTTAATTTGTGTGTATGAAATGTGAATCCTCATCTTTTATAATGCCGTCCCAGCGGATGGGGATCCTGAACCGCAGAGCTCCTGAAATTGGCTAATAACCGTCTGCCACAGTCCACATGGAAACTAACTATTTAGATAACTACCAAAACAAGAATCCTAAACAAATCTATGGGTTTCTAATTGTTTTTCTTAAGCTTTTATGTGGCGGCTAAGCGGTGATGGTGTATGCTCAGTGCGCCACAACTTCAGGCCATATCAAAGCAGCGGGACGCCGGTTGAGAAGGTGATTTATTTATTCTGTGCAGAAGGATAGGGAATGTTGGCAACCGGACGAGGGTGCGTCCGGCGCCGCGGAAGGCGGCATCCGCGAGAACGACGAGCCGTGTGTCGCCGAAAGTCGCCGTTGCAAAAGTGTCGTGGCAGATTGTTTACGCAGTGGTCTAGACCGTGTTCGCCTGTGGCAAACCAATCGGCGAGAGGATTTTCGTTGATTGGGGAGGGTAGTGACAAGCCTCGCATGGTGCAGACAGAGAATCGACCAGATGCGTCGTGCATACGGTGAGTTGCAACGAGGCAGATCGAAGCCGAGCAGACGTGCGTGCCGAAGCAGGCTGTCGCTAGGGCGTAGGTGCAGGCGCTAGTGAGAGGCGCGATGTTGCCATTATAGCTGCCCACAAATACATTTGTGCCCTCCAGTTGGCCCCAGTACTGCCAATGGTGCTTACCTTAAATGCTCGTCAGTTATTTATTTGACAGATACACCTGGATTTTGCATTTCAGAGTCAATTGGAAACGCACTTGGCCGTCACTTTACTGGATTACTGCTGATATCATTTTCGGACATAAGGATTTCGGTTCGCATTAAAAAGTAAGATGCACTTTCGCGCTGAGACTATAGGGTTAGGGGTAAGGGTTAGGAATTATGTTTATAGGTTAGGTTTGGGGTCAGGGGTTAGTGTTTTCGTTAGGGTCAGGCGTTAAGCTTAGGGTTAGGGATAGGAGGTGGGGCTTAAGGGGTTATGATTCATGTTTTTCATTAGGGTTAGGGTTAATGTTATTGTTAAGGGTTAAACTTACAGCTTTTGTCTAGGCGTCATTCCTGAGGCTATGGTTAGGGATAAGGGTCAGGGTAGTCGTTAGGGTTATTTTAGTGATAGGGGTTAAGGTTAGGTTGGGATTGGATTTAGGATCAGGCCTTAGGGGTCATTTTTCGGAATTATAGATTGTCGACCCTCGCAACCTCCATTTTGCTAGGGCTTACGGTCCGATTCTGTTGGTCGCCGATACAGTTTCGGCCCTACTTTCCATTGCTTTTTCCTTGCCTCGGAGCCGTCAATCGTCATTGAGTAGTGCGTGACTATGAGCTATTTCGGTATTTCCGCTGCATACCTACCAAGTCTGCCAGAATATTTGGAGTCAATTTGCGATTTTGCATCTTGATATGGTTAGCTGGTTCTCTGTTATGATTTGGTTGGCTGCCGTTCCCTTCACTTCTTACATGTCGACAGGTAATTCCTGCTTACGTTTTACTTATCATGCGCAGTTATTCCGGTTGTTCGCCCGCCTACCCCTTTTCCCGGTTAGAGATGTCTCCGTGGTTCTGTAGTTAGTCGTTTTTGGGCCAGGCTACTTTAATACTGCCATCCGTGGGTACTGACTTACCTATTTTAATGTTTTAATGATTTAGGTTGTTGGACAGCATTGGCGTTCTTATTTTAGTTTTTACTATGCCCAATTGTGTTCCTCTTACACTTAAGCGTTCAGCTTATATGTTTCTACTTTTTTACGGTTCGCCGTACTCCAGATGCCCATCATCTTGACCTTCGAAACCTCTACCCATGTATTCCTTTAGACTAACATTCTACGTACCTCATGATGTCGCATGCGACCATCGTACCCTTCACTGTTGTGGGCTTAGCTGTCTTCACCGGTATCGCGTTCGGTTTCACCTGCGGTGACGCATTTGTTTGCAGTCATATATCTTTGTACCGGGCTTGTCGCCCGACCGTACTCGACCTACCATCTACCCTACTTTGGTTTTGAATCTTATTACGTTTGGCTTCACGGGGTGCAACGACCCACCTTAAAGGCTGAGAGGCAGTGTGTTCGGCCATATCGCAGCCGCCGAATCTCGGCTTAGAGGCTGCTTGCCCGTTTGGAATTTGTCGTTCATTTTGTGTGATTACCTCATAAAATTTTGTCCACCAGATCAGATCAGATCAGACTTATTAAGGGAAAGGTAGGCGAGCGCCTTTGAACTCCCTTTTTGTTACAATAACGTCATAAAAACAATGTGTAAGGCAAGTTTCAAAGAAAATTAGGTACGTAATTACATACAACAAGCATTGGTTACTGGTATAAATCTGTCTGTGAATGTCTTCTATGAAAAATGTACAATGACCAGTACGCGGTACTGAATGGACCAAGTAATATCGAAGTAAGCGTATATGCTTCGGTCAGGAGATAACGAAAATTCAAAGGTAATGCTGCCTAAATATAGGGAGTAGCATGTTTCGTAACGTAAAACGTCGGGGCGGGTGGTATAGGTGGGAGAGTTGTTAGTTTCTGATGCCGTGGAGGTACATATCCCTGTACTGGTCAAGCTTCCTCTTAAATGTGTCCACGGATGAGGGCATAACGACTTCCACAGGCAGAACATTCCATATCTTTACCACTCTGTGGCTGATGAGGGACCTCCTTGCGTCCAGTCTCGCCCCTGTCACATCGAAGAAGTTTTCTTTACCCGCGGTACACCCTTTGCCACGTTGTGTCCCATGCGATCATTACTTACGGCGGCATCCCTTATCGTTTCACTCCACGGTTGCATTCGTAGGCAACTGTATGTGTCGTATCGGCTATACCCCTGGATAATTATTGCCCTACTGTCCTACTTCGGGTCCTTGCTTCCGTTCCCGAAGACGTGCATTCTCATCAAGCTTTCAGATTCTGTTCGGAAGCTGATTACGTTTGTCTGGCAAACAGCTGCAATCAACTTGATTATCAAATGCTCAGAGAGGTTGCTCGGTATTCTCGAAGTCGCCGGATTTCCGAGTAGCTGCTACTTCCCCATTTGGGATGTACCATTTGTTTTGCGCGCATACAGTTTGCACTTTGTGTACTGAAACCACTCTCTCATCCGCCTACGGTGTTAGATAATGAGCGGACTAACACCCACTGAAAATGTCCTCGTATGCATAAGGAATATCGGCATAAATGACAATATAAGTTAGATGATATGTTGTATCCAGCTGGTCAACGCTTGGAATTCTCCACGTCCTCCTCTCAAGTGCTTCCACATTTGGCCCCTGTTGACAGTATTCGCGCGCGTTTCGAATTTGGTTTCAAATTTTCGTCCTCCGAGGGGTTAATATTCTTCGAGATTTCCGCACTCTGGATGCTCCTGCAGTCAAACGGATTTTAGAAAATTGAATCACAGACAGCATTATTTGCATCGTCATCAATTTACGACACCACCTTTGCAGAACGTGGACTTCGACACTACCAGTTCTGCATACGAGCCTAAAAAGACCAATCTTCCAGCAAACGAAACGCTTAGAACAACTTCTACAAAGGCTGAGTCTCACTTCGAAATTAGACTTTAGCTGTACCTTTGCTTCTAAGCATTAGCTTAAATTTCTGTTAACTGTAGTACCGTTAAATTCGACTAGGTTTCTGTTGTCTGAAGTCTCGAAGCATTCGCTTAGATTTCCGTTGCCTAAAGCTTCCTGACATCTGAAAACCTTAGGCCTTCTTTTGATTGTGTCTGTCTTCTGCTGCCAACCTTTCGGCCGTTGTTGTATTCTTGACTTTGGCGCATTGAGACATGGGAAATGTAGAAGTGTACGATCCATCAGTCCCGCGGGATGAAAAAAAGGCGTGGAGAGCGGGAATCGAACCTCCGACCATCGCCTCACGAGGCCATCGGCACCGATGGCATGACCTCAAAGAATATTAATTGCATTAGCCCCACGGTTGGGGAATGTGTCGGATTTTGCCATGAACATAGTGCACTAGCAACTCCATGCGGACCAGCGTCGATTCACGTCGGGCGGGGAGGATCTAACGAACGCAGTACGCCAGAAGTGGTTCAAAACAGGACGGAGGTGGCCCGCAACGCAAATTATCCCGGGAAATTCGCTACGCCTACACAAGATTTTTTACCAGATGATGCAACTTCAAATTGTGGTTCGCGGTGTAAATATTGTCGAGATCTCGCGTTAAACATTACGTCGTTGGAGACGAACATGAGCCTCCTTATAGATCTCATTGCATTGTTACTAAAGTATGATAAATTCAGGTCAATTGATGAATTCAGCAGCAGCCAACAGATAGTTTCGAAACTGACAGAGTTGACTAACAGCAACCCACTAGTAGAGGGATCACCGTTTCAGGAGATCGCTGGCTGCAGAAATAAACAGAGTGCTAAGAGAAAAGGTAAACGGAAACATGAACATACAGCCTCACCCTCACCAAGAGCGATGATAAACGACACTCCAAAATCGCAAACTAAGTTGCGAAGTGATAATGGCAGTACACTCTCATCATTGATAACTACCCAGCTGAAGAACAATGACCAGCTCACTGGCAGAGTAGAAGCTGTCCGATCTCCACCACAGAAGAAGGTAAAAGGATTCGACATAGAAAAGACTACCGCATGGATGGAAACCTCAGAGGAAATCGCGGAGAATATGACAAGGCATGATATTAATCCGCCGCAGAAGAGCAGAAAGCAGACGCTCACTGCCCCCCGCAATGTGACCGAGGAGAACCAAGGAATTAATAATAAGACTCAGACCGTTCACATGCAACTGAGGTCACATCAAAAGAAGCAGTTAAATCAAAGGGGACTGACGACTGAAAAGAGAGAGACGGAAATCGGACGACTTCGGAGTACTCGAAGAAAGGAACTTCCTAGGGTGGAAAAGCAGAGCTCGTCTGAGCAATCGACAGAAACCTCCAGCGCCAGCGTAGACACAGACGCGGCAAATGCGAATATCCTCTGTATTGACATAAAAGACAGGAGCAGTATTGCCCCAAACACGATACCATTAGCTGCAGAAAAGATCCCTGGAGTGGATGGCAACCAGAATGTCGTCATGAATGGTTCGCCAGGAACTCCCAAGTCACCAACATCACGCAACCAAGACCGGCCGCTCCGAGAACAGTGCCTAATAATACAGCGACTTCAGGAGCCGCAAGCAGATACACCTAAAGAACGCGTATTAGCTGATCTCAGCTTGTTCCAAGGTCTTCTAAACACACTGCTTCAACCCGACGAAGAAATTTCCGTGTTGAAAGCCTTCAGACTCGGAAAGCGCTCTACTGAACCCGCTATTCCACCGCATCCTAGGCCCCTTAAAATTGTTCTGAGTTGCAAAGAGCATGTTGATCTCATCCTCTCAAGACGTTTTAGGTTAAAATATTCCCACCAAGGAGGTTTTTTTCAGCCGGATTACACACCACCGGAGCGGATAAAACGCCGACAGTTAGTTCAGGAGCTAAGGCTGCGACAAATGAATGGCGAACAAGGCCTGGTTATCTACAACAACTGCATAATCGAGCGACCGCCCGTGCGTATGTCGCCACAGCCGAGACAATTGGCAAAGGCGGCGTCATAGCCGGCTTACCAAAGGCAAAAAAGCTAAAATGCTTGTATTCCAATGCGCAAAGTCTGCTATCTAAATTAGATGAGCTTAAAATCTACGTTAACCAAACCTTACCCGATGTTATATCCATAACTGAAACGTGGCTGTCCGCGAGCGTAGACGATCGCGAAGTCGCTTTATCTGGTTATCACTTGTTCAGAAAGGACAGGTTGGGACGTCAAGGTGGAGGTGTGCTCGTGTATGTCAAATATGGCCTTTTTGCGTCAGCAAAAGAGGCACAGCTCGCGCGCACAACTGAAACAATTTGGCTCACCGTCAAAACGCCGGGGTCACAACCTCTCGAGATCCTGACGGTCTACCGCCCACCGAGGAACCACCCGCAATCAGACAGTAGTCTACTAGAGGAATTAGAAGCGATTTCGCTCCGACCCAATGTCATGATTATGGGCGACTTTAACGCTCCGAATATCGACTGGAATCTGACTTCTGCCCCGGGCTCAGAATTTAACTTTGATCGCCGCCTCCTAAAATCTGTGCAAAGATCGCATCTCACACAACACGTCTTATCCCCAACTAGACTACGTGAAGGACAACTACCTAACTGCTTAGACCTTGTATTGACAAAGGCACCGGAAAGCGTTGATGTTGTAAACTGTCTACCCCCTCTCGGAAAAAGCGACCATGTAGTCCTACAGTGGGAGTATTCTCTCTTCTCTGTACCCCATCAAAGCATCGTGATTAGACGCAACATATGGCGTGGTGACTTCAACCAAATGCGTCTCGACATGCGTCGTAGAGACTGGAAAGCAGCATTTACGGGGTGTGTCCTCAAGGACTGGCTAGAACTTAAGGCCATACTGAATGAACTTATCACCAGATACTGCCCTATGTCGAAAAAGAAAATCACCAGCAGGCCCCGATGGCTAAAGGGTTCACTAAAAGTTGAAGTAAACCGTAAGCAAAAGCTATGGAAAGCATATCTTAGGGACAAGACAACTGAATCAAGAAATAGGTATAAGGCTCAGCGGAATAGGGTAAAGTGCCTTGTTTACAAAGCCCGCCAAGACTTCGAGGGTAACCTTTTAAACAGTGCAGGAGAAAACCCAAAGCTTTTCTTTAACTACATAAGACGAAGTACTCGCAACAGGGATCCCATCCCTATGCTAAAAACTGATGATGGCGTTGAACTTTACAAGGACGACGAAAAGGCTGAGCATCTGTCCAGGTTCTTTCAGTCGGTTTTTACGAGAGAAGTCGCTGTACCCACTGATCACTGTAATGTGGACAATGTCCCGACAATTGACTCAGTGGTTCTCACAAAACCTATTGTTCAACAGGAATTACTGAAGCTAAAAGAAGGGACTTCGCCCGGTCCTGACGAAATACCGGCAAAGTTGTTGAAGGAATTAGCCACAGAATTGGCAGAACCTCTGAGCGTCCTCTTCCAAGCCTCTCTTGATGCAGGCAGACTGCCTCCTGAGTGGAAGGCTGCGTGGATTTCACCGATTCATAAAAATGGCAGTCGCGCTTCCGCAAACAACTACCGACCAGTAAGCCTCACCTCCATATGCTGCAAAGTTATGGAGCAAATAATCAAACGCGAACTGATGCGGTTTTTAGAGCAAAATCATCTTCTGTGCGATGCACAGCATGGTTTCCGCAGAGGGAGGTCCTGCTTGACCAATCTACTCTACTGTCTTGAACAGTGGACCCGAGCGATTGATGAAGGAAACGTTGTGCATGTGGCCTACATAGACTTCAAGAAGGCCTTTGACAGCGTGCCACACCAGCGTCTCCTACACAAGCTCAGCCGCATAGGGGTAAGAGGCAAGCTTTTGAAGTGGATTGAAAACTTTTTGGTCGGTCGGTCCCAGACTGTTCGGCTTGGTGGCCAGCACTCGGCAGAGGTGACGGTTACGAGCGGAATACCTCAGGGCTCCGTTCTTGGCCCTATCCTCTTCCTCATCTATATTGATGACTGTATCCATGGATTGGACTGCAAGATTGCCATGTTTGCTGACGATATAAAGCTTTGGACCGTCATCCGCAACGAGGACGATGAAGCCAATTTGCAGGCAAACTTAGACCGACTCGAAAAATGGTCAGGCCACTGGCTCCTCCCATTTAATGTTACCGAATGCAACATTCTGAGGATTGGCAGAACCAGCTTTGCGCACCGGCAGACGTACTGTCTAAATCACACACCGCTGCCACTGGTAGAGGTTCAGAAAGACCTAGGGGTGTGGATAACATCTTCACTAAAGCCATCATTCCACTGCTTGAAAGCAGCGAAATCCGCAATGTCCAGCTTATATCTCATTAAGCGGGCATTTGCCAAGTTCGATGAAGAGTGCTTCCGCAAGGTCTTCGGGATGTTTGTGCGCCCACAGTTAGAATTTGCCATTCAGGCCTGGAGACCCTGGACTGTTAAGGATCGTACCACCCTAGAAAAAGTCCAACGACGGGCAACCAAGCTTGTCAGAGGTCATAAAAACCTACCTTACGAAACCAGACTTTCAAATCTAAACCTCTTTCCCCTGGACTACAGACAAATCCGTGGCGACTTAATTCAAACGTTTAGAATGTTACGGGGTCAGGACTGCTGCCTCGCATCCGGCGACTTCTTTGAGCTGGCCACCACTACTAGCTTGAGAGGACACCCTCTGAAACTACGTGTGACAGGAGCGAGACTGGACGCAAGGAGGTCCTTCTTCAGCCACAGAGTGGTAAAGGCATGGAACGCCCTGCCTGTAAATGTCGTCATGTCCTCATCCGTGGACTCATTTAAGAGAAAGCTTGACCAGTACAAGGATATGTACCTCCACAACATCAGAAACTAACGAATTCCCCCTGTGCCACCCGCCCCATCCAACGTTTTATGTTACAAAGCATGCTACTCCCTATATTTTAGTAACATTACGTTTTACAATTTTCGCAATCTCCTGACCGCCACATATGCGCTTGCTTTGATATTACTTGGTCCATTCATTGCCGTACTGGATATTGTACAATTTTTACATAGAAGGCATTCACAGACAAATTCATACCAGTGACAAACGCTTGTTGTATGTAATTACTTGCCTAATTTTTTTCACACCTGCCTTACACATTGTTTTTTTATGACGTTATTGTAACCAAAAGGGAGTTCAAAGGCGCTCGCCTACTTTTCCCTTAATAAATCTGATCTGATCTGATCTGATCCTTTTTGTAACCCTTTTTCGAGCGTGATAGGCGTTCTTTTAATTAACTAGTTTTGTATTCTGACCTTGAGCTGGGAATTCGATCTGCTTGAACAATAACAAAGGAATTCTTTGTCTAGGGTATCAATTGTTGAGGTTTGTACGTTTTTTCATTATTAATTTATTCTATCAATAGTACCGTATAAACACCGAAATCTGTTTTGGCTTATACGCGTCACTCGTCTGGCAAGCAATTCCACAGTACTCAACATCGTACCATAAATTGGAGGAAATTAATTTCATCAAATGCAGACTCGTTCCATGAAGAATGAATCGGATGGTACGCAACAGTCTCTCGGACTAGACAAACCAGGTGCCTTGGAAGGACAAGGAGAGCTGAAGAAAGACGTCCAGTCCGGCTCTTGTAAGAACGTTTCTATTAGTAGTCGTAATTCCAGTAAAACAGTTAAAGCCTTAAAAATACCCGAAATAGAAGAGAGGCGAGTTAACCGTGAGGTCGAACTCCAACGGGCTATTTTTGACGCAGAGAAAAGGACAGAGCTTGCAAGGATGGAGGTAGAGACAGATGAAGAGATGTCCGACGACGACCGTCAACCCGTGGATTCCGTCGCGCATGTCTCGGGATATTTGAAACAATACACATTGGATAAAATTTCTCCTGAAGAGAGTTATCATTGCCAACGTGAGAATGTTGATATGCCCAAAGCAAGCGCTAGGAGCCTGCCAGCTGCCAGTTTAGAACTGCCCAAGGTTGAGTTGTCCTGGTTTGACGGGAATCCAGTTCATTATTGGACGTTTATACGACAGTTTGAAGTGTACGTAGAGAGCAAAGTTGAAGATGCTGGACAGAGGCTGCTGTACTTGATTCACTATTGCAGAGGTGATGCGAGAGCGGCCATAGAAGAATGCGTCATGCTTCCCTCATCTTCGGCTTATTCAAGAGCACAGGAAATATTGAACAGCTTATTTGGTCAGCCACATGTAGTGGCTAATGCTCTTCTGGACGGTGTTTTGAGACAGGCACGCCAAGTTAACCAGACTGCGAAGGCAATTTCAGATTTGTGCATAAAAAGGAGAAGTTGTGAAATAACGCCCACGCAAATGAACTACGTTTCCGACCTACAATCGCTAAATGTCCTAGAGCGAATAGTGTGCTGTTTACCGTTTTTTTATGCAGATTCAATGGGCTGAAGTTGCTGACAAAATATCTATGAATGGTAGAGCTCCGGATTTTGCAGACCTCACGAAATTCGTAAATACTCGAGCTAGGATAACAAGAAGTCGTTTCGGACAAATATCTCGAGATGGGGA